CCCGACCTCCCTTGCAGGCTTAGCGTCCAGGGCGCGCAAAAAGGGTGGCGCCCCGCGCCCGCGCGGCCCCCGCGCGCCGGCGCCAGCCCAGGCGGTGGCGGCGATCCGCGGCCGCACGCATGGCCGCCGCGTCAGGCAAACCGCGCGCGGACGTCGTGCGGCGGTTCGAGGCTCGAGAAGGGGATCAGCTGTACTGAAGCGCAATACGACCCCTTACCCGAATAACGCAATGCGTTCGTGGTCTGATATAGACCCCCGCTTGTTAGGGCTATCCCTAGACATGCGGGTGGTTTCGCTTGAGACAGCTGCAAGGAAGAGCTCTTATCCCTGCTGTGTTCTGGGCCTCCCCCACGATTTGGGGTAATTTTGTTGCTTATCATATGACAAAATTGAATTGCCCCAAACACTGTTTTCCGTCGAATCTACGAGAAAGTACATATAATGTTTGTCGACATCACGTTGGTTTCGTAGGCTCGACGAAAAACAAAACAGTTTGGGGGCAAATCAGTTCTGTCGTCGATCCCCTACTCGAGAGGTGCCCGACGCGGAGGTGGTCTTCGCGCGCGCCTGCACTCCGAGAGGGAGAAGACATGGAGATTCCGGCGCTACAGTTTTTCCGAGCGGGGCGTTGTCGCCCAGGTTCCCGGGCTAGAAGACCCTCACGGATCGATCCGGTTCGAAAAATGGCGAAGAAAGATAGGGTCCTGGGCTCCAGTCGTGTTTTGTCACGATGTTGCAAGTGGGTGGCTGCGTCGGATCTCAGAGAGGGGTTCGATACCGCTGCCCTTCCTCTCGCCGCCCCAGCCGGATACTCGCCTCGAGACCCTGGCCAGGGCGCATCCTGCGAGAGGTCCACGGGGTAGCAGTATCGGTATTTGTGGCTGCTTCCCCACGCGCGCGTGCGTGCCCGGGCGCCTGCCAGAGCCGCTTGCGATCCGTTATGCGGGTCGGTTCGCCGGCCAAGGCCGCGGTTCCGATCCGATGCGGGGCTCGCCGGCATGGGCGGGGGCCAGCTGGAGCCACAGGCATGGCGATCCGATCTCGATCCAGATCGGGACGTTTCGCTGGCAGCACGATCCGTTTTTCGATCCGGTATCCGGTTTCGCGATTCGCTGCAGCTCAAACCCGTCCGCGCGCTGCGCGCGCGCACGTGCGCGCCTGCCTGCGCGCCTGCCTGGGGGCCTGCACGTGCGCCTGCGCGCGCAGCCCTTTGGTTGGGCGGGGTTCCCTGCTTGGAGCCTTTGGGGGGCCCCGGGGGCCTGGCGGATTGTCCCGGTTCGAGAAGTGCCGCAGAGTGGTATGGGGGCAAGGGTTTCTTTCCTTTCCCTCCTCTTTCCCTCTCTCCCTCTCTTCTTTCTCTTTCCTCATCTCCCTCTTCTCAGTGCATTTGATTGTTTATTCGGTTAGCTGATCTCATATGATCTCTGTCTCTCGCTCTCTCTCTCTCTCTCTATATATATATCTCTCTCTCTCTCTTTCTCTCTCGCTGTATAAACCTACACAATATACCTACATGTTTATATTTCGCTCGTTTGTATTTCCCTTGGGCACTTCGTTGCTGCTGTGAGCTTCGTTGGTGGGGAAGTATCAAGCAACTCCCGCGCCAAAAGTCGATGGCGCGCCGAAGTCACGATGTGTTCTGCCACTGCCACCATCGCCAAGTTCTAGCTTGCCGAGTGCGTGTTTATGCAACCTGGGCATTCTAAAGCTGACCGGCACCCAAGTTCTCGTTCGCGAGATATCATATATTGATGGTGTGCGTGTATATTACTTAGATACATACATATTTGCATGTATACACACATACACACATACACACATACACACATACACACACATACACACACATACATACATACATACATACATACATACATACATACATACATACATACATACATACACACATACACACATACATACATACATACATACATACATACATACATACATGCATACACATATACACACATACACACATACACACATACATATATACATACATACGTACGTGCATACATACATACATACACATACATACATACACTCATTCATAAACCCAGTCATTCATCTGTACATACATACACATACATACATGTGCATCCTTGCTTGGTTTCCCTAACTTTCTCTCTCCTCTATCATTTACTCTTCTCTCCTCTCATATCCTCTCCTCTCCTCGCCTCTCCTCTCCACTCCTCTCTTCTCTCCTCTCTTCTCCTCTCCTCTCCTCTCCTCTCCTCTCCTCTCCTCTCTCTCTATCTCTCTCCCCTCCACTTCTCTTATCAAAGCGAGTGGGGCGAATTGTCATTCACTGTCCCTGGGTGCGTGGCTGAAGCGGAGTTCCGCGGCGCCTACCTTGCTTGTTGTTATTTGTTGTCGTCGTCCCACCCGCGACCCACCCGCGACGCACCCTGCCACCCACCCGCGACCCACCCGCGACCCACCCGCGGACCACCCACAATGCATTGACGAAAATACTGCGCTTGCGGCGGGCTTGTTGTATCATTTGTAACAAACCAGCGCCTGCAGGGGCCTTCTTCAGAGTCTAGCAGACTGCCGACGACCCCGGCGCCCCCTCACTTTAATCCGCAACTGCGGGGGCTATGGTATCATCTTCTGTTCCTTCTCTTCTGATCTGCTCTTGCTCCTCATCGTCACCATCCACGTCGTACTCTGTCGGTGGTTGCGCGTTTTGTGAGGTATGTTTAGTGGTTGCACGCTTGCTTCACTGCGTCGCATTTTCGTGGTGCTGCTTGCTCCTCCCCCTCGTCCCCCCTCCTTTCCAGAATGAGAGAGGAACAAGAAAAAGGAGGGGGGGAGCCGAGGGCGCTGACCGTTGCTCTTTCGCGACGCGGTGAGTCCCGACGAGCGTTGCATCATTCTACAGACAGATGTCATCGGATAGCCACCGATGGCTACGCATGCCCACGGGCTGTCTGGGTGTGGGCGCGCATGGCCCGGCCTGGAGGGGCAGAGAGGGACCCCCAGGGAGGGGAGACGCAAAGGTGGTCTGCTGCCACGCCTTCTCGAAAGACGAGTCCCTGCTTGCCGTCGCCCCGAATACGGAGGCATCTCCACCGCGGCCAGAAGGTATCCACGTCCACGGCTTCAGAGTCGTGCCACGGGACCTCGGGTGAGGGGCGGTGGACAGTGATGTCCGCTGGCTCTTCGGGGCAGGGGCGTGCTAAAGCCCACCCCTCCTCGGGGACTCGTGGCAGGACTCCCGGAGCCGTAGATGCTGGTGGTTCTGGGTAGCGCCAGAGTCGGGCGACGAGATCTATACACATCCGCCTGCCCGGGCCCAGCCCATCCTGGCACCAGGCCCGTCGTGTACGCCTCCTTGGTCAGGCCAGGAGAGCGCATACACCGCGGGCCCAGGTTGGGCCGGACCTGGGGCCGTGGATGTGTTGTGGACCCCGCCGCCCCGCAGAGGACGTGCTCATCTTCCGGCTGACGGGCGCGGAGTTCCAGAGCACCCACGTCCTCTCCAGGCACACGCAGCGGGTCACGGGCCTCTCTTGGTCCTGCGACGGGCGCCTGGTGTCGTGCTCGGAGGACCGGACGGCCTACGTCTGGGAGTGGAGCGAGGCTCGGAGGACGAAGCACGATGACCATGCAACAATTGTCACAGGTCGTTTCTTTTGTTAGCGTACATATGTCTGTTTAGGGGGGCAGGATTTGTCCGCCTAGGCCAGCGCTGACAGCAAGCAGCATCACACTCTTGGCAGCACTGTTGGAGCCTTGCGGTTGTTCTCCGCTCTCCCCCCCGCCCCCCCCAGCAAAGAAGACAGCACGATCATCACGGCCAAGACGTCGCAGGATCTTGTAGACGCCGATCTTGGTCACGTTCCATGCCCGCAGTCGCATGTTCGTGAGGGTGATCCACGGACGGACGATGACCAAAGTGGATGACCCAGATCGGCACCGGCGTTTCCGCGGTCAGGCTGGGTCATGGCCATCTGTCTTCCTTTCCCTCCAGAGGCGGCCGGGAACTGGAGGGCGGTCCTGGTGGAGCTGCGCGCCCCGCGCGCAGCCCTCTGCGTGCAGTGGTCCCCTGACGGCAAGCGCTTCGCGGTGGGCCTCTCGTCGAAGGACGTGGCGGTCTGCTACTACGAGGGCACCGTCGGGTGCTGGGTGGCCCTGAAGATCGGGAGGTCGATCCACCAGGCGGCGGTGGGCGCGCTGGCCTGGCACCCCACCTCGCAGTACCTCGCGGTGGGGTCCTTCGACAGGCGCTGCCTCGTGTACGACGTGACCGAGGAGAACATGCTGCCGTCTCAGCAGCCGCCCTTCGGCGAGGCGCAGGTCTCGGAGGAGGCCAGCGCCTGGGTCAACGCTGTGGCCTTCAGCCCGAAGGGCCGCTTTCTGGCCTTCGCCGCGCAGGACGCGACCGTGAGCCTGAAGGACCTGAAGGACGGCCCCGGAGCCGAGGTCTGCAGGATCCGGTGGCGGCAGCTGCCCTTCCTGCGGCTGGCCTTCGTCGGCGAGTCCCAGCTGGTGGCCTGCGGCTTCGACTGCACCCCAGTGCTCCTCCGCCAGGCCGGCGGTCGCTGGGCCGTTGCTGCCGCGCTGGAGTGTACGGGCGCCTCCCCCGCGGCCCCGCCCGCGGGAGTGGACGGGAACGCCTTCGACCAGGCGCGCAAGGCCTTCGGCGGCAGGGCGGCCGCCGCGCCGGGGGGCGGGGCCGGCGCGTGCCACACGGGCGTCATCTCGGCGGATGCCCAAAGGGGTGGATCTGCAGCCCAGGGGAGGGCACCACGCGTGTGCACGCATATGTATGTATGTGTATATACCTACATACATATGTATGTAATATATGGGTATATATATATAGAGAGAGAGAGAGAGAGAGAGAGAGAGAGAGAGAGAGAGCCGCTGGGAGGTCTACGGCGAAGCCACGGGCGACCTCGGGGCTCCCTTTGGTACACAGGTGGTGCCCGCCCCGCCGGGCCCGCCGCCCCTGTGGCGCCCGCCGGTCATCACCGGGTGCGCCAGCCTGGGCGCCCCGGGCCGCTTCAGCACGTCGGCGCTGGACGGGCAGGTCCTCGTCTGGCAGCTGGCGGCCTGAGCACCGGCGGGTGCGGACTCGTCGGCGCACCGTCGCACCGTCGCGGCGGGGGGTCGCAGGGCCCCCCCCCCAGACATTCGACGCGCGCGGAGGAAAGCACCGCGGTGCCTCGAGCAAGGTCACGGCCTCCCGAACTTGGAGTCCGCGTCACGCCGATATTCTTATTCTGCGTGTGCGTCGCCCCTCCCCGAGGGGCGACGCACGCGCGAGATATCTCGTAGTACAAGTGCTCCGTGGCGGGCCCTTCTGGGCCACAAAGCTCGGGAAACGATATGCTACGAGATGTTTGCGCTGATGTGTGCGGGTCGGACGCGCGTCTCCGAGGAGGACACACAGCTTTAGTACATTCGACCCGCATAGTAATGATGATCGGCTTCCCAAGGATACCATTGCATCCTTGCCTCTTCGGTCATCTGCGGTCCATCCTCAACCACTTTCGATGGCCAGCCCCGCTCGAAGAGCCTCGGCATGGGCATCCAAGGCCCATGTTCGGCGGCGAGCGAGGGGGGAAAGTGAAAAGGAGAAGGCCTTCTCGGAAGGTTCGGAAGTCCCCCGGCCTTCTGAGGAGTTTCCTTCTCAGAAGGCGCGAGGGCCACTGAGAAGTCCCGCCGCCTTCTGATAGTGCCTTCTCCTTCTCATTTTCCCCCGTCGCTCGCCGCCGACTTGCATCCTTACTGCGCATCCTTCCAATACGGGTTGACCGTATGTCCTTCTGCGTCCCCTGGACCCCGCATCCGAACGGGATCCGTCGCGCCGGACCGTGCCGTGAGGGGCCTGGGGGCCCGCAGCGGGGCGAGCGCGCTTCTTTGCCGAGGCCATCTTGGAGGCTTCCAAAACCCGAGGAACGCCCTGTCCGGGTCCAGGGGGGAGGGGGTCAGAGGGATGAGCCAAGGAGAAGAAGGGGGGTCGGAAGAAAGAGCTAGCTACACCACTCACGCCCTAAAGGGCTGTTGGGATTCCGCTGTCGAGCCAATGACAATAATAGTGCGTGGCGCTGCCATCTACGCAAACGTCAAAATCGGCGCTGAGCTCTTGGAACGCCTCCCGGGAGATTGAATTCTTTCTGGCGCACTGCGGATCCAGCCATAATGCGTAAGGGGGTGAGGAAATTTGCTCACGTCAGGTCGGGTCAGAGGGCTCCGCGCACGCCATGTGCACCATCTCCTCTGAGGCGGACTCGGCGCGCGTGTCCCCCCACACGTTGTGCACTGCCAAAGCTGGTGGTGCAGTGAGTCAGGATGACCAGACAAATTTCACTTCCAGTGGATGCAAATGGTACGCTTCACTGTACGATCCTCCGTCAACGCGCCTCCGCCCCTTCCCCGAAACAACGGCAGGGCGGAGAATATCCTTATGGAGAGGGTGTCTTGTTTGGGGGTCGGAGGCACCTTGCAATGTTTGGGGGACGGAGGCACCTTGCAACGACAAGGGGATGAGGAGCTGGACTCTACGACGACAACGGCGACGGCAGCGAAGGCGACGGCGACGGCGACGACGACGGCGACGACGGCGACGACGACGACGACGGCGGTGTCAACACGCGACGAAGGCGGCGACGACGGGTGGCGGCGATGACCGGCGGCGGCGGCAGCGACGACAACGGTGGTGACGACGGGCGGCGGCGGCGATAGCGGCAGCGCGCTCCGGGCGGCCCGAGAGGGCGGCGACGGGCTCGATGAGTGGGACGCCGAGCCGGAGGACATGGGGCTGCCCGACGCCGTCGAGGACTTAGCGCCGGTGGCTCTTCTTCCGCCGCCGTCGGTTGTCGTCTTCTTCTTATCCTGCTCCTTCTTCTTCTGTTTCTTCTGTTTCTTCTCTTCCTTCTTCTCTTTCTTCTTTTTTTTTTTCTTCTTGTTCTTCTTCTTTGTGTTGAGGTGTTGGAGGCTTGGAGCGGTTCTGAGAGGAGGGGGTTGTGCCGATATCGCTACGCTTGCCTCGTCGCCATGGCGGGGTTCGCCTCGAAATCTTGGTCAGAACGCATCCCTGGAGAGGTCTGCTGAGTAGCGCTGTCGGTCTCTTTTTGCCCCCTCGGTTTGGGGCGCTTCTGGAGTTTCCCGTCGTCCCCGGTTGCAGGTAGCTCGAAAAAAGCCTTGCAGGATGGATCACGAAGAGTGGTCCGTGGTCAGTTTTGGGCTAGATGAGGAAGGAGGGTGCTGGGAGGAACCTCCCTCTCCTCCTCCTCCTCTTCCTCCCCCTCCCTCTCCTTCTCCTCCCCCTCCTCCTCCCTCTCCTCCTCCTCCTCCTCCTCCTCCTCCTCCTCCTCCTCCTCCTCCTCCTCCTCCTCCTCCTCCTCCTCCTCCTCCTCCTCCTCCTCCCCGCGCGGGGACTGAGATGGGAAGGGGAGGGAGGAGGAGGAGGAGGAGGACGAGGAGGAGGAGGAGGTGGAGGAGGAGGAGGAAGTGGAGGAGGAGGAGTAGGAGGAGGAGGAGAAGAAGAAGAAGGAGGCGGAGGAGGAGAAGAAGAAGGAGGAGGATGAGGAGGAAGCGCAGTCTCACTCATATTTAGCCGCTCTACACAGACATCTTGCTCTGCGCTTGTAACGCCGACCCAGGGGCGCGCGCGCACCCTCAGGCGAGCGGCTGGTGCGCGACCTCGGCGCGGCGACTTCTCCGGCGCGTCAGCCGTTTTCTCTCTCTCAGACCCGCGCTCGCCCAGACTAACAGTCGGACGGGGCTAGGACGAGGATAAATCCGTTCCAGAGCGTTCCAGAGCGCTCTGAGGAGGCCGCGGCGCCCGAGACATCCTCCAGAGGATCTCAGAGATTCTCGACTTGTTGCCACCCGATGCTATCCTCGTCCTGGCTTCGTCTTACACAGGTGCACAGCAAAGAGCGCCCCAGAGGTTCGAGGTTCGATGCACCTGCGGGGAGGTCCGCACCGCGTGCTCCTGACCCCAGGGCGGGCGCCGCAGGGCCCGGCGTCCTCCCCCATGGGGCCCCAAGCCCTCCGGACGGCAACCCTGGGCTTCGCGCCAGGGCTCCACGACGAGATCTTGCTGGCCTGCACCCAGTTTTGGTTGCATCAAGGGGCGGCCCCCCCAACATACGAATCAGGAAGAAAGTTCTCGGGTTGGGAGGATGGGGTGGACAGAAATAGGGATATCATTACCCGTAGGCGGTCGAAGGTATCGCGCATTGCATCTGAATGCAATTCCTCATACCCTTCATCCTCCCGACCCCTTACTCCCAACACGATAATTGTTTTCCTCAACCACTACGATGTGTGCGTCGCCCTCCCCCGGGCGACGCGCGCCCGCCGGGAAATCTTGTATATAGTACAAGCTCCGTGGCGGGCGCCGTCTAGCCATACCGCTCGGGAGACGATATATGCTGCATGATGGCTACGCTGTATGTTCGGGCCGTGCGCACCTGGCATTATGTCCTGCTTCCCGCCCAGTGCCGCCCCCCGCGCCCTCGGCGGCCATCGCCGCGCGGCGCCCCGCCGCCGCGCACACCGGCGCGCCGTGCACGCACTCGCTCTGGCCGCGACCGCGCGCCCCGTCCTGGGCGCCGCGCTCCTCCCCTCCTCGCCCTCCTCCCATCCCCCCCTCCTCCCCCTCCCCCCACCCTCCCCTCCTCCTCTCTCCTCCTCCTCCCCCTCCCCTCCCTCCTCCTCCTCTCCTCCTCCTCCTCCTCCTCCTCCTCCTCCTCCTCCTCCTCCCCTCCTCCTCCTCCTCCTCCTCCTCCTCCTCCTCCTCCTCTCCTCCTCCTCCACTCCTCCTCCTCCTCCTCCTCCTCCTCCCCCCCTCCTCCTCCTCCTCCTCCTCCTCTCCTCCCCTCTCCTTCCTCTCCTCCTCATCTCCTCTCCTCCCTCCTCTCACTCTCCTCCTCCTCCTCCTCCTCCTCCTCCTCCGCTCCTCCTCCTCCTCCTCCTCCTCCTCCTCCTCCTCCTCCTCCTCCTCCGCGCCCCGCCGCAGCCAGCGGCAGCGTGCGCACACAACTCTTGGGCGTGGAGGAGGTTTGGGTCGGGCGCGTCCCGCTAATTGATTCTTATAAAGAAGGAATAGTCAAAAGGAGTAAAAAAATAGTCTGGGGACGATTTTGTGATTATTTGTTTTCGACTCTTTTCGAAACCTTTTCGTTTTTGTCGTTTTACTCTTTTTCCAAAATCCGCCGGTAGGAGGACATGCCCGACCTAGAACTAGACCCCGACGCCGACTGGCCAGGCAGTCCTGGCCCCAGGATGGGTGTCTACGTGGCCGCGCGGCGTGGGCCGCGGCAGCCAAGGGGACCCTCTCCCAGGGCCGGCCCCGGTTCCAGACCAGGGCCCGCCCCAGTCCCAGACCTCTGGCGTCGTGCTCTGTGTCCCCCCCCCCCCTCCAGAGCTGTCGATCCCGTCCCGGCTCCGCTTGGCTGCTCTGTTCTTTTTGCTGGCCCCAGAGCCCGGGAGCGGCCCTGGGTGCCCGAAGCGAAAAAAAAACGGAAGCCCCCGCCGCTTTTTGTTGTTGTCTTTTTCTCGATGCCCGGAGGCCCGTTGTCTCCTCAGGCCACGCCGAGCACCCCGCGGGGTCACAGCAGCTCGGATGGCTCCAGCTTGATCCGCGCGGGCACGCCACACATGCCAGCGCCGAGACAGCCTTGCTGGCGCCGAGCCAGATAAACCGATGCCGCTGCCGCTGCCGCCGACGACGGCTTTACGACGACGACGACGCGACGACTGAGACGAAGTAGGAGGAGGACGAGACCCTGAGATCCGTCGTAGCGAAAAAAATGCAACACCGTCAAAAATCACGCCTAGAGCCCCAGATCCCATCTTTCTGCGTCGTTGTTCTAGCCATATTGATCTGAGAGGGTCCCTGGGCTCGAAATTATGCGAAAACGCCCGGCTCGAAAAAATCGAGTCGCCAGGGTCTCAGGAGGGGCGGGCGGGGGGAGAGGAGGCCTGGGCACGAGACGAGGCCCGTGTCTCTCGGGAGCCGTCGTGCGAGGACTGACGGAGAGGCCGCCAGCGCGGAGACCGCCGCCAGCGGCGGCCAGCAGCGGCCAGCAGCGCTGGCGGGCGTCGGGTCGGACGAGGGGGGGGGCTGGGCGAGGTCAGCATCGCCTACCCGAGCCCCATCCCCACGTGGGCCATTCGGAGGCGACGGAGCCTCGCCGAAGGCATTGACCATCGGCGCCCCTGGGTACATGTATTGCCCTATTCGCCCCCGTCGTCGCCCCCGAGCCATGATCTCAGCCCCGCCAGCCCACCCCCCCCAGGGGTGGGATGGAGGCCCCGCGACACCGGAGGGGAACACCCCACATCCCCACCTAGGACCTTGTCCCAAGGGGGGTAAGCCAGCCAGAGGGGTCAATGCCCAAGGCCATGCCAGTGGGGATGGGGATCGGTTTAACGATATTCCGGGTTTTGGAGAGGGGGGGTTGGGGCAATTACAGGTGGGCACGGACCCAGGGGGTCAAGCATCGCGACCCCCATCGTCCATTCATTACCGATCGTGGCCAGGCCCCCCCCCCACCATAGGAACAGGCCGTTCAGCTATCGGGGGGTTGTCGTCGCTGAACTCTCGGCGATGCATCGCCGACTCATGTCAATGTTCCCCTTCCCCCCGAGCCGGTTCCCCCCGATCCCTCGCCCTCCGAAGGGGGGGGTAGTTACGACATCTGCCGCGTGCAGCTGGGCGTGTGGTCCTGCCTCCGGGCGCGCGCACCAGCGCCCAGGGCGGCGCCACGCAGAGCAGCTGCGTGCAGCGGCTTCGCAATTCCCCTCCCCAGAGATCCAACGTAACGAAGAAATCAAGGCGTAGGTTTTTCGCAACTTTCGGCCTACCCTCGCCGGGCCCCGGGACCGTCCAAAACCGACTCAGGACGAAACACCAGTCCTGGGGAGCGGGTTGCGACTTCCGGGGGCCCCCTGTCGACAGAAGTCACGACATCGGATCTCTGGGCCTCTGTGCTATCCCCCCTGTCGTCCGACCCGAGGGCGTCGGGCTGGAGCGGGGCTGCCGCGCGCGACGCGCGCGCGCCTCGGCGCGGAGAAGAAGGGCCTCCCCCGTGGAGGTTCGAGGCTTCGGGGTCGAGACTTCTGCGTGGCCTCTGTCAGCCCTCTGGGGCCTTGCCTCTCGTCTGCTGGATTCCCCGTGGGGATCCTGGTCAAAATGCAGCCTAAGAGAGCTCCGTCCAGGGGTGAGTGCAGGTCGGGGCAACGTAAGACTCGCGTGCGCCAGAACTCGGGTTTGCCGACGTCTTTCGACGAGCGCGTCCTGGAGTTTGACGGTCCAGTTTTCGTATGATTTTTCCCGGAAAGGGCTCAGGCCCAGGGTTCTCTTTTAGTGGGTAAACCTGTCCCCCGGTGCCAACTTGAGGGAGGCCGGCGAATTTTTTCCCTGATAAATAACGAGGTCGAAGGAGGCCGGCGAATTAAAATTTGAGGATGTCTCGAGCGAAACGCTTGTTTTTGAAATCCCGATCGATAAATCACAGGGTGCGGGCCACTTTTTCGTGTGTTGAGGATGTCTCGAGCGAAACGCTTGCTCCGCAGAGTTTGCCGAGGATTTCTCGAGCGAAACGCTTGTTTTGCAGAGCCGACCGCGACGCGGAAAAGCGCCCCGCGCGAAGGAATTTCGATGATGTCTCGACTAATTCCTTTGTTTTTTGTACGATTTCCTGGAATTTTGGCAGGATGTCCAGCACGACCACGCCCAGCACGACCACGCCCCAGCACGACCACACCCCAGCACGAACACACCACAGCACGACACACCCCACACGACCACCCCCCAGACACGACTCACCACAGCACGAACACATCCCCAGCACGACCACGCCCCAGCACGACCACCCCCCAGCCCACCCCAATCCCCCAGCACGACCACCCCCCAGCACGACCACCCCCCCAGCACGACCACCCCTCCAGACACGACCACCCCCCAGCACATGACCACACCCCAGCACGTCCACTCCCCAGCACGACCACACCCCAGCACGACCCACACCCCATACGACCGATCGATAAATCACAGGTGCGAACACCCCCCAGCACGACCACACCCCAGCACGACCCCACCCCAGCACATAGCGTAAGAAATCACACGCCCCCACCGCCAGCAACAGCCACGCCCCAGCACGACCACACCCCACACGACCACAACCCCAGCACGACCACAACCCCAGCACGACCCCCGCCCGCAGCCCCACCCCACCCTAGCACGACCACATCCCAGCACGACCACACCCCAGCACGACCACACCCCAGCACGACCCCACCCCAGCACGACCCCACCACAGCACGACCACCCCCCAGCACGACCACACCCCAGCACGACCACACCCCAGCACGACCCCACCCCAGCAAGACCACACCCCAGCACGACCACACCCCAGCACGACCTCACCACAGCACGACCACACCCCAGCACGACCACGCCCCAGCACGACCACGCCCCAGCACGACCACGCCCCAGCACGACCGCCCCTCAGCACGACCACCCCCCTAGCACGACCACCCCCCAGCACGACCACCCCCCAGCACGACCACACCCCAGCACGACCACACCCCAACACGACCATACTCCAGCACGACCACACCCCAGCACGACCACACCCAGTCGCACCCCGGTGGAATGTTTCGTGGGGTGTCTGGTTGAGTGGTTGCCTGTTCGTGGGGTGTCTCGTGGAATGTTTCACGGGGTGTCTCGTGGAATGTTTCGTGAGGTGTCTCGTGGGTTGTTTCGTGAGGTGTCTCCTGGGATGTTTCGCGGGGTGTCTCGTGGGATGTTTCGTGAGGTGTCGCCCAGTTGGATATCGTGAAAACGTGACCATGCTGCACATGTCTATATCCCTTTCCGGGTTCGTGGGTCCATCATGTTGCAGCGGGAGTTCGCGTCAGATTTCAGACTGCGTCGCGTCATTTTCATGATGGCCCCGTCGGGCCAACCCGAGTCCCCCTAACCCGAATCTTACGTCTCCCCGAGCAGGATCGCCGTAAAGAACGAGCCGGGTCCGAGTAGATGGGTCAGAGGATCGAGCCGCATCGCTGATGCATCGGCGGTGTGGCTCGATGTGGATCCCGATTTTCTTCACGCCGACGGCGGCGATGCCCCGCCGACGTCGGCGATGCATCGCCGATGTATCGGCGACGCATTGGCGATGCGGCGCGGTCCTCCGACCCCATCCACTCCGACCACATCTGGGAGGCCTCCAGGAGCCCGTCTCCCTTGTGCCAGGGCGGGGACAGCGTGGCCATCGCGCGCGGGGGGAGGAGCCGAAGGCGTCGGCGCGGAGGGCCCCCTCTCGGGACACAGCTACGACAGGCGCGCTTGTTCGTCATTTCCCGCCCTCCGCAGGAACCTGGCACCGCTTGGGCGTGTGCATTTTACGCGGCGAGGCCAGCGCCACCAAAGTCTGGACCACCGTCGGACTCCCTTTTCTAGCTCTGTTTCGGCTCCTCTTCCTGTCGGCCCGATGTGAGCCAGTGGGAAGTTCGATGACCCCTCTGTGAGTGCCTTTGCTCATGAGAAAAACCCTGGGCCATCTTGGAACACCTTGAACCATCTTGGGACAGCAAAAACGCACGAAACCACACGGCCCACGGGCACGGGATCTCTGAGCGATGGCAAAACGGGCCGCTGCCGGCCCCACCCGGGGGGCCAGCACAAGAGAGCGGCCTGGGGCAGGAGAGGCCGGCCCCGACGGGTAAGGGGGTCAAAGTCTTGCGATCCGGCGTCTCGAAAAAATATGTATCGCCGCGCAGTTTGCTCCGATGCGCAGCTTTACGTCTTTGGGAGGGCGTCTCGGCCGCCAAAGCAGACTCCGCCTCGGGCGCAGGGCTTGCAGTGGGTTTGCCTCGGTGCCGTCTTCGTCTGCTTGGGCGCGGGACGCAGGGTTTGCCGTGGGTTTGCCGTGGTGTCGGCGTCGTCCACTTGGGCGCGTCGAGAAACGGCGCGGCGACATTTCACTACGCCACCCCCACCCAGCCCGAAGGCCCTGGACCGCCTCAAATTTCGGGTTCGGGGTGTGCGGGTTCCATCGTGGTTGTTCTGAAGTGCCCCCCCACATGATATCGACGAGCCCAACGGTGACTTCGGGTTGGGTTGGGGTGGCTTGGTAGGTAGTCAATTGAGGCGTCGTGAGAAGTCACGATCGGAGCCCCGGGCCCCATCTTTCTCCGAAACGTTTTGAGCCAGGCCGATCTGTGAGGGTCCCGGGGCCCGAGACTGGGCGAACACGTCCGGGCTCGAAAGCGTGGAGTCGCCAGGGTCGCAGGGCTGCGTGCTGGGGGAGGCCCGGGTCCAAGAGGTCCGATGTCGTGTTCATTTTTCCCGGAAAGGGCCTGGGCCCAGGGTTCTCTTTTAGTGGGTAAACCTGTCCCCCGGTGCCAACTTGAAGGAGGCCGGCGAATTTTTTCCCTGATAAATATCGAGGTCGAAGGAGGCCGGCGAATTAAAATTTGAGGATTCTCGAGCGGAAATAAACCTTGGTACCCGGAAGGGCAAGATCCCATGGTTCTCTTTCATGTTAATAGGTAAACTAGTCCCCCGGTGCCTGCTTGAAGGAGGCCGGCGAATTTTTTCCCTGATAAATAACGAGCCGGCGAATTGCCGGCGAATATTTTCCCTGATAAATAACGAGCCGGCGAATTGCCGGCGAATTTTTTCCATGATAAATAACGAGCCGGCGAATTAAAATTTGAGGATGTCTCGAGCGAAACGCTTGTTTTTGAGGCCGGCGAATTAAAATTTGAGGATGTCTCGAGCGAAACGCATGTTTTTGAAATCCCGACCTCACCACACCCCAGCACGACCACACCCCAGCACGACCTCACCACAGCACGACCACACCCCAGCACGACCACGCCCCAGCACGACCACGCCTCAGCACGACCACGGACGCCCCAGCACGACCCTACCTGCCAGCAAGACCACACCCAGCACGACCACACCCCAGCACGAACTCTCACCAGCAACCACAGCACGACACACCCCAGCAAGCACGAAGA